GGACAGCGCGTCGCGATCCAGCACATACGACACCACTGAAGTGCAGGGGCCAAGGCCTCTCGTCTTGCAGGGTCAGCCAGTAGCACCGACTTTGCTGACGCAGACACGCCTCCATGATAAGGCTTCCGTTGTCGTTGGCATTATTTGCGGAGTTGTTCAAGTTCGCTGTCGCTCATACCGTTGGCCTCCACTCCCAACGTTAGTGCAGGCTTCGCCCCAGTATTTAAAATGCGCGCGATTCTTTCACTCGGGGTAGCCTTCCGAAACTAATTTGACATCCAAGCCGGCAAAGTGCATCGCGAGCTTGTTCGAGGGGAACTGTCTCGTAGTACTTGCTGTAGTCCGCGATGAGTGCGGTCGCATGTAGCGTCCTTGATGCGCGGGCCTCGGCCTTGGCTGATCACCGCCATGTACTGTCTATGGCCGATCGACCAGCCGCTGCACCCCAAAACTGCATGTGCACCGCGTCATGCAGGTTGTCAAGCTCCTTGCGCCGAGCCCTTTGCCATGCCCTATGGCTCAACGAGTGTGACATGATGACCCTGCTTCCTCCCGTCGGCTTCGGCAACACCGGCATGAACATCCACGTGAGCTGCGCGTGGCATAGGCCGGCCCCTTCACTTGCTTCCCACACTGTACCCAAAACTGCCAAGCCCGCATCCGAAAGGTGCTGGTAGTGAGAAGTATGAATGCCGTCCGGGCTGCCTGATGTGCGCGTGGAGAAGCTTGCCCATGCCTTGCGAATCTCCGCTGCCGTCACTCGCGGAAGGCCATCTCGATCTGGTATCAAACATCTTGCATGCGATTGGAACTCACCTGGGCCACCCATGACCATCGTCGGCGCCTGCACATTCCTATGCGCCGTAGCCCGGTGAAGCCGTCCTGCTCCGTTTTCGCTCGCACCGTCATACCACTGCTTCCATCGCGAATGACAGTCACGATGCGTATCCTGCTTTGCCGCGCCTATGTCTTCAGCAGCCCCTTCCAGCAGGCGTTGAAGACCATTCGCCGAGACATTCGCAAAAAGATAATAGCCGCCATGCATGCGCAACCCTGTCATCGAGACGTTGACCAGCCCCTTGCCCAACGCGTGCCGTCACGTTGAAGCCGCGGATCTCGTGCTGGAGCTTGATGATGTCCAAGTTAGCCCGCCTTGACTTGAGGTTGGCCATGGCCGCGATCACGCCCTCGCGCCACTTCCAGCCGTTAGCAACAGCCTGCATTCCTTCAGGAGCCTTGCCTCCATAAGTATAGGTAACCCATCGAGATCTGACATTGCCACTATATAAGTGCGAGCGCAACTGGGGCCCAGTGAGGTGAGCAAGTCGCGCAGCTGCCATACTTGCGAAACGCGCCCATGCCGAAGAAAGAAGCCACCATGCTGCCTTTGCCGATCCACGCATTGCCTACTGCACTGCATTATCTGCGCATCTTCGTCCATACTGCCAGTCGCGCGTATCTTCGAGCATCCGCCCAATGACATCCTGCCGCGATCACACGTCGCCCCCGACGCAAGCGAGGTAGAGCAGTTCCTTGCCGAGCGCGGAAAGTTCAGCACTGACAGGCCAACGCGCCTTGACGGTCCACTTGAGGTCTGCCTTGGCCATCTGAACGACTCGCATCATGCCAGTTGTGGGTGCAATGTATAGGGGGCAGAAAAACCTACCTCGCTATTGACCGCCCTCGCTTTTGACCACCCACGCTACGGCCTGCACTGGTCAGGCCGCTCGACGTGGAGGCGCGTGGCATGGCTTGGTTTCGCCTGGAAGCGAGAGCGGGGCAGGTAATTCACGTTCTGAGTGTAATCGATGATGGCGCTGGCCGTCGCCGTTCTGCATGTTGCGCCTGTGGGCGCCGGCAGAGACACCTGAGCGCGAGCCGTGAAAGTGGACGCTTCAGCTTCAGCCGCGAGCGCATTCCAATCTCCACCGACGAACGATGGAAGCTGCTGTCAAGCCATAGCCAAGCCAACATTCATGATACGATTCACGTTCTTGATGGACACCCCTTCCCCCGCGTGCATGTACAGGTT